GAAAGACACAAATCCATTTACGCTCCTTTTCAAAACTGTATCCACACAGGAAAAACAGACAGGTTTTGTTTTAAGTATCATTCAAATTTGATACAAGAAAGATGCAACTGGGACAACTATTTCTGCGCACTGAAACTTAGCGTAGCTCTAAATGCTTTGACAACCACAAAGCAATCTCTTGAAGTTCGCAGCTCTTGGGGACTCCACTTTGGTAGTTCAGGCACACTTGCAGCTGAAACGGGTACCTACCTATCTTCTATTCATCAAAGCAAAGAAGTGAGTGCAACAAAAATGAAATTAAGACAACTAAGATCAGCGTCTCCAATCATCAGCTTATTGGCAAGCCACCTGCAGTCACCCAAGAATGGATTTGCCACTGGATTGCAAACACTTCTTACAGCAACTCAGACAAGTCCAACACTCCTCTCTCTGCTTCTTTAGTACAGCCTTTACTAGTTTTCTTACTGCTTTTTCTACTAGAAAGATAACATTATAAATTGAGCTCTTCTAAAGCTACTTGTGCCCTTACTGTTTGCATGAGTTACCAAGCAGGTCTCCAGCCACTTGCTGCTCTGCTGACCTTACTCATTGAACCTACTGAAACCACAGCTCTGCACGGCAAGCCATAATCCAACCAAAGAACCCCAGTGCTTTTCTCCAAGAATCCTGTTGTTCTTATTTCACACAGCCGTGCTCAGTTAGTATCTATGTCATTTATCCCTCCTAAGCATGCTTCCTCCTCCAGCTTTCAGACAACAGCCATTTATACCAATTAAATCAAGGTTAACACTCACATCCTCCATAACAACACTCCGAGGCTCCATAATCAGAGCAGCTTTTCCCCACTACCAGCCAGAACACAACAGCACTGCTTCCCAAGGGAATGCTTCTCGCAGTCTGAGCAACGAGATACTGATCACTTCCACTTACTCCTCTGACCTTTTAATTCTATTGAATTGACTGCTCCTGAGCCACGTACCACTCTCATCTCCTGTCCCTCATTCTCTGCCGTTATATATTTGGACTTCCACCTTCATAGCAAAAAAAATTCCCTCAGCAATACTTGTGAATCTTGATAACACCGACTTAAAATTAGCATGGGTTAGTCTCCCTTTTTTACCTGCTACTGTTTCTGAAAAGGCATACTGTGATGCAACAGAAAACACAACAACAGCAGCAGCAGAGCAGGAAGGTCTCAGACTTCAACAAGTGAGGATTTGCTCAAATGCAACAGCCCCAGGCACAGAAATAAAAGAAAGAAAACACTTACCTTCAGAAGGCCTCACTACACAGGGATCTCCAACAAGGTCCACTTACCTCCACTGCCAACCCTTAAATGAGGGATGGGAAGGGGTGAGTCCTGGCTCCAGCCCTTCCACTCACTCAGGCACATTGCTTGCACCTGAGCTCCCCTGGGCTGGTCCCGCCTTCCACCAGGTGCTCCATCACTGCTTCAAGCTGTGACTTGTATTTCCACTGCAGCAACACAGCTTGATAATTGGAGTAGGACTGATGTAATAACATGCTTGTAGATAGAAAAAGATTCCTGCAACTGCTGAACACTGTTAATGTCACCAGAATACAGTTGTTCAATAACCTGTAGAAATGCATTTCTGGCAGCAGTGAACTGCTCAAGCAGTGCCCTCATCGAATCATTACAGTCAGCATTGCAGGGAGTATAAAGTTAGACACCTGAAGTAGTTTATACATTGCACTGTTCTAATGGTCACTTTGCAAATTAGCACAAGTGTTTGCATTACAACAGAACTGGATATCAATAAGCATAAATCAGAGCTCATAATTAACACTACTTAAGTGATTCTTTGCCTGATCTGTATGAAATGATTTCAGAAGTTCATTCTGATGTCAGATTTCTATCTTTGAACAAGAACTGATGATCACACAAGTAAACACACAGGGAGAACACAGCAAATACCCCTGTAACTTTGCTGCAGTGGGAAGCATACAGTAATCTCTGCTATCCACAAAGCTGATCAAGGCTACATCTAACCCTCAGTTTGCAGAAGTCTCCAGGAGGACCGTAACATCACAACAGCTTTGTCAGCTTTCCACTTTCCCCCTCCCCCAAACCACTGATTACCAACAGCATTCAGGAGCAGAATATCAGTGCCACAAACAACAGCCTGGCTCCAGCAACCTCCACCTGCCGTTCACAATTGATTTGTAAGAGTTTACCACGCACTGAAATCTTCTGCTTAATTTACAGTTCCTGTTGCATCCCTACATTGAGCTTGTTCTATTCACGGTCACTCTGATCATTCTCCTCCACGCTCCTCTTTCCTCACCACTTCTCTTGCTTCTCAAACAATCCTGTTTTGTTTCCTTCCATCCTAGCCTGTGTACTCGAGGACTGCCTCCAACACACGCAGTATTTGCTTGGCTTTTGCACAGTTCTGCAGAACCCAGAAACAAAGCCTGACAGCGAGTAAACAGCTAGAGTGCCAAGACAAATGCCCTTCATGCTGAGCTATGCATATTCTCAGCTCCTCATAACCATCTGTAGCCATAAGATAGATAAGTGCAAGTATCTGAGGGTAGGATTTCTGTCCTATAGCATGCACTGCAATGAGGTACAACCTGAGATGTTAGCTTCAAGTATAGCAGCAGCTATGATACTAGAAAGTGATACTTTGCATCTCAACATTCATTTCAACCACTGAAGTTCCTCTCAAGACTTCCCCCAAGCATGCTTCCTTAATCCTAGTGCTGGAGATCAGGACTTTAGGCAACAGAACCCCACACCTCAGCATCACCCTGCAGTGACTGGGAAAGAGAAGAACATAGCCCGTGAACTTCACAAACCCTAAAAGCCCTGTGCACCTCCAGCTCACAGAGCAGCTCGTTTCTGACAGACAGCACCATCTCATCTGAGCAACCAGGCACTTTCTCAGAAAGAAGGTAAGTTCTGTGAATGGACGTTAGGTCTCTGTGGAAGTATTTTAGGTAGTGGGCACTTTGCTGGCACGCAGAGTAAGAGCGCATGTCTCTTAAACATAGGAGACAAGAATTACAAGTCTATTTTTATTTCTTAATACAAATCACATTCTCTTCTTGACACAGGATTAAACACTTTATTTAACAGCAATTGTAAATTGACAGAAGGCATAAGAATGAATTAAGATTTTATCAGTCTACATTATGAAGGAAAGCAATTGGCATGTCTTAAACTTTGCAAGCCAGTTAGCTTGCATGAGCTTTGCATTTGGCTGAGATATAAGCAAGCCAGAAGAAAAAGGACCAGACAAAGCAACAATCATCATCTGTGATCAGAACAATGACTCCAGCTGTTTGGAAATCACAGAAGTTCTTCAGATCCACACCTGGCTGCAAGCTGGTCCATGGTAAGACATCAATTAGCACTAGCAAAAGAAACTACAACCAGTGAGGTAAATGACCACCTAGTTGACAGCTAGCCAGTACACAGCCAAGAGCTTGAGATATTTCAGGGAGCTGAAACAACATCTTGAAGGTATTGCAAGTAGTACATAAATTGCTTTTAATCCTCCAGTCTTTTGGAGCAGTTAAGCAAAAGTAAAGTCTGTGGATAATGAAGTTCATTACAGGTAGATGTTTAGGTCATACTCCCATGCATTTTACCAGTCTGAACCCACTGGACAGTCTTAAAGCAAGGTTGCATCCAAGGTGACTATTTATCTAATCTTATTAACATCTAAACCTGTAGTGTTTGTATTGATTCACAGGCAGAACAAAAGAGCATGCATTCTTTTTATTTTGGTATTATTTCCAATCATGGGTTACAATTCATCTGCAAGCAGCAGCTAAGAATAAGTCTCCTCCACCAGGCAGCCTATACATACATAAGTTCAAGATGCATTACCAGCCATACAAGGTGTTCATACACACCCACAGTGCATTCTTCACTCATCAGAAGGAGCATTTGGATACTCTAAATCTTCACATCCCCTCATCCCCTCCCAGCACTCCAGTTTTGGGAAGCTGGTATCTGTGTAATCTATAAGATCTAGTCCTAATTGGCCAGAACAGATCATCTGTAGCAGGGCCCTCAGGCTGCTGAAGATTTTTACATGTTTAAGCTCTGCCTTTCAGAAGGGCTCCTCCAGTTCATTGCTAGAAGGTTAACGACAGGAACTGAGTTGTTTTCTGCTTTGCTTTCTTCTGCACTTTCCAGTAGCAACTCCTCAGCCACATCATTGAGTCTCTCCACGTTTCCAATCACTCCATATTTAAAACCAGCATCTCTTACAGCTTGATGAAAGCTTCACGGGAGAAAAGACAGGAAGAGAAATTGTATTTAATTTCTCCCACTTTTAATGGAGAAAAGAAAAACCCCTTCCATAAACCAAGGTGTAAACTCAAGAAAGTTTTCTTGCTGCTGCACAAACACTCCCTGCAGCCCAAGCTGGTTGTTTTTCCCAATGAGCCATAAGCATTTTGATAACATCACTACACACAAGAAACCACAGACAAGGCCCCAGAGATGTTGGTTGCTTTGCAACCCTGGAGGAAAAAAAACCTAAGTAAAGACCACTAACTTGAAGCCCTCTGCAGCATCTCGTATCAATTGAAGGCTTAAAAGAAGACATGACATAGTAGCTACCAAAATAAGGCAATTACAGACTTAAAGTAAGCATCTCTAACAGATGAATAAAAAGAATAGGGAGAACTGCAGTTTTGGGTTTGTTTTCTTAAAGTTATAACAATTTAGGTACATCGAGCAATTTAATAACACATTGACCTCAGTAAAGATATTTGTTACTGAAAAGGACCTTCAATAAGCCATAAGTAATTGCTGCAATAAGCAAAAGAATGGAGGCAACTATTTAGGGGAAAAGCTAATTAACCCACATAGCAGCTTTTCCATGACACAACTACACCCCAAGCACCACCTAAGAAGCCCAAAGCACCACCCCACCACATCACTCACCACCCTTTACCAGGGACCTTTTATACAGACCTACTCCAACACAGCGCTCTGGAGGCTGGTCATATAAATTTGGCAATGGCAAACAGCTGCTGCTTGTGTATGCTGGGGGAAGGTTGGGACAAGAAGCTGCTTCTGTCTGGTGAGTGTGCTAGTTTTAAGGGCTTTTCTTTCCCATAGTTAAGCTAGTTGCTTATAATGTTTGTAATGCATAAGTTGTAATTGAGCTACACGCATGGTAAAAGTTACCTTTAGGGAAATATGTCTTATAAATGAGCTGCTTTCCCTAAAATAGTGGGTAGTGTTCTAATATCTTTGAGAAACTCTCTAATAACAAAAGCTTGTAGTTATATTGGAAAATGCTATAGACTCGTAAGTGCTATGGGAGTGTAAATAGCTTGTAGCATAGCCTGATTCTTAGAAGTGCTGTCTGCTCTTTAACTGTCTATCTGAGAATAAGAAAATGGTGGTAAAATAAGCTCTTATGTCTTCTTTCTCTATAGATGAAAAGAGACAGTATCCTGTATGTGGTGGTGTTCTTTGAGTAAGGGCAATTTGAGCTGTTATCTGTGTTAGTGCTTAAATACAAAGCTAGACCTTCTAAGTGCTTGGGAGTCTTAACAGGTATTTGTTATTGAAGGCTTTTTTGTGAACTTCTTAAGCTAGTTTCTGACTAAAGCACTGATTCACAGTCTATTATTTAGATTCAGAGTCAGTTATCTAGAGTGCTGTGAAGTCCTTGGTGATGCTGTAAGAAAATACATGGCTTAACAGTAAAATTAGAGTCATGATTTCATGGGAAGCTTCTGAAACAAAGGGGAAAAGCAGGTAGCTTAAGTAACAGATGGACTTTTTGTTCTGTGGTGTGCCTTAATGTTGTGATGCTGCATCAAGCTGTATATCCTGAATGGGGGGGAGAAACAGAAAGCTGCCATTCTGCTGTAACTGACTCTAAATAGAAGACAGAGGTGTGCCAGCAGCAAGCACACTATTGTGAGAGATTCTCTCCAGTGTAACAGTAATGGTACATCATAAGTTAGTAAACAATGGGGAAAAAGGCTATATCCACTTAATACTATAGGGGAGTATTGAAATGACAGTTACAATGGGTTTGTTCTTACTGACAAGGGAAATACAGTATTTCTTCTGAGGAGAAATGATAAGTTTAATTGGGAAATAGCATGAATCACTGCTACTGCTGTAGGATGTGCTTCAGTGTGGAGCAACAGGGGCGGCTCTGCAGGGTGCCTGTGCTGCCTCCTTCACTGAGTAATGCCCATAGCAGAGCTTCTAGTAAAGCAACTATCCGTGCAGAGGAAGGGAATTAACTACAAAATAGCTCTGCTACAATGAAACTAGTTGATTTTCTCTGTAGATAACTGTAAATAAAAAAAGCTGAAGAGTCAAAAAGATTCCAAGTCACACATGGGTATATTCTGAGTATCGTTTTATATCGTGTCTTCAATGTAACACTTAAGATTTGGCTTCTGTTTATAATTGTGTGGCTTCAGTTAATTATGCAACAAGGCAAATAGGAAATGGGAAATGATAAACATCTTCAAATCCTAAACTAGTCCAAGTTACAACTTGGAAGAAGCTGCACCTAAACAAGGTTATTTCAGCTCAGTGTATGGATCTCAGAGCACGTTTCTGACAGAAAGATCAGAATCTGGAAGCTGAACTTTTTCTAGTGGCAGCAAGATTTCCTTGTTTGAGTTCTTCCTGCTTTTATCTACTTCCACCATGCAGCAAAGACAAGTCTTGCATTATTGTGACTTCAGATATGCCGTGATACTATTCCCTAAAAGTCATTTCCTGTTTATCAGCATCCAGCCTGAGGTTTGCCATTGTGAGCAGCCTGAACTCTTAATATTTGCTTGCACTTCATCTTCAGAACTCCTATCATTAATCTCAATTACTGCCCCCAAATGATTAGCACTTCCAAAGATCAGCTCTGTGCTGCTTTCATGTGCTTTGGGAATGCAAACCATAAGGACCACCCATGCAAGTTTTGCTCAAGTGATTTGCCTCGTATGATATGAACTTAGTGGTGGGGGCTGAAATAAATGCAGTTCTGCAGGTTTTTCCTCATGCTTGCTAATACCCTCTGGTGGGGCCACACATCATGTGTTGTGGTCAGTTTTTCAGTGGGCTCCTCACTGCAAGGAAGACTTTGAGGTGTTAGAGTGGGGCAGTGAAGCTGGGAAGGGTTGGGAGCATCAGTCTTATGGGGAGCAGGTGAGGCTGGGATGGTTTGGATTGGAAAAGAGGAGGCTTGGGGGGACCTTATGGTGGCTCTCCATCTCTGTGCAAGGAGGTTGTGGTGAGTTGGGGGTCGGCCTCTGCTCCTGCAATAGGTGATAGGATGAGAGGTGACGGCCTAACGTTGTGCTACAGGAGGTTCAGGTTGGATGTCAGGGGAAGGAAGCTTCCTCCTAGAAGGAGCAGTGATGCACAGCTGCACATGGAGCAGTGGGGTCACCATCCATGGAGATACTCCAGATCCGTGGTGAAGGGCACAGTGGGACGGGCTGGGCTTGGGGAGCTTCGTGGTCTTTTCTAACCTGATTGATTCTATGGAGGGAAAAAAAAGCCAAACAAACAGCCCTAGCCATTGAAAGTAGTGCTATGATCCATACTGACGTGTCACAGGTGAGGGGAGAGTGAAACAACCAGCGCGGGAGGTGACCGGCAAGGCTCAGCCAGCGGCCGGGCAGCGTGGGCCGAGCGCGCCCCCTGGCGGCATGCAGCGGGCAGACCCGGCGCACGTGCCAGTACCCAACATGGCTTCCGCCCCCTTAACGCTATGAGACGCCGCTGCCCTCACGCAATATGGCTGCCTCCGTGGGGCAGCGGCAGGGTTAAAAATGGCCGCTGCCTCACAAAGGATCGAAATGGGGGGTCTGCGTGGAAGGAACGGGCCTCCCTTAGAGCCCACAGGATCGGGCAGGGCTGCAAGGCCAGGCCAAGAGCCAGCAAATGGAGTCATAGAGAGACCATAGAGTGCGGGGCGGCCTAGCCACAGACTGGCAGCTGCGAGACAGCGCCTCCTGGTGGCGGACGTATGCACGGCTCGAGGCGCCCACTGCTGCGTGTCTCGGTTCCCCATTTCCGCAGTGACCTTCGTCCCCGCTCGTGCTCGGGATTTTCCTGTCTACCTGTATTGTTTCTCGGTTTCTGTCCCTCCCTGCTGCCCGCAGTCATCCATTTGTAACCTGCGACCCTGACTCCAATGTCAGATATCTGCTCCTTTGCTCCACTCGTGGTCAAAGCAGTACTATCTGCCTGTTCCTCGAGGAATGGAGCAATTAAAGAATATTGCACTGCTGCTGTGCTCTGATCCATCTGCTGATAAGACCTTGCAGATGTACTCAATCAGCACATTTTGCAGAGCCGTTTACTGGTTAGTTGCCAAAGCTATAAATGATGGTGTAGAACAGCTGTGAGCAGTGGAATGTCAGTCAGGTCTGGCAGATAGCACACTGCTGCTGGAAGCTGTCACCTCCCCATGCTTTGATGCCCTCAGCTCAGTGCAATTTGCAGAAGATGATGGGGAAAGGTGTCATTGTTCATCCTTCAGCTGTATTGAGACCCACAGATGAGGATGCAGCTGTGGGAGATGGAGAGCTAGCCGTGTCCATCTGCAGGTGGCATCAGGTTGATGTCTGGGAACCTCCTTTAGCAAAATGTGGATGCATTACCCTCAGCTTGAGACAAGAAACCGCTTTTACTCTGTGCTTTAACCTTCACGGCATTCCCTAATGCCTGTTGTGTGAGGGTCAGCCCTGGGTCGTGTCTGCCCAAGGCCGCCTCTGCAGGGAAGGGAGCCTCAGCCCGGGCTGCAGGCTCAGAGCAGCCCCTTACTGGGAGACCCAGCGGTGCCTCCATCCTCCCTCCTGCAGCCTTAATCCTCCCTGTGCGTGGGCTGCCTGCAAACTCCCCCGTGCTTCTCCCCCTCCCTCCCCCCCCCAGGGCCCCTTCCTCGCTTCTCGAGCAGCCACAAAGCCTCGGGCACAAAAGGCTCTCCCGTCGTCCTCCCTGACCCCCCCGACTGCTGCCCGCCCTCATCGGCTTGTGCGGGCCTGCAGGCGGCACCGACAGCCCCGTCGGGCCACGAACACACCCAGCAGGGTGTGAGCGGGCGGCACGGAGCTGAGCTGCGCACCGGCACCCGCCTGGGAGCTCAGCCCAGCGCTCACCTGGTTGCTCGGTACCCGCTGTCGGAGCCCGACGGGGAGCAGGTATTTCCCCGCGGGAAGCACCGAGGGGGCGGCCGCGTGGTTGGCAGGGAGGCAAAAATGGGGGGGTATTGCCCTGATGGAGGGTGGGGAGGGGAAGGGAGGAGTGGCTGTGCCGCTCCTCCTGGTTGCGGGGATGGAGAGCGCAGGGGGTTGCGGAGCGCGAGGCTGGGAGTGGGGTCTGAGAAGCTATGGAATTGCCCCAGGAGCTCTGTTCACCTTCCCATGGGGGCAGCAGGGGTTGAGCTCTAGGCTCTGGCTGGGTGACACGGTGGGTGTGTGGATGGCACTCTGCTTGTGGGCATCAGGTTGTCCTGTGCCAGCACCCCAGAGATGCAGGCCCCCATTCCCCCCATCCACAAGGGGCTGTGGGCATGTGCATAGCTGTTCCAGCAACTGTAGCAGGGCTGGCAGTACTCTGTGGGGTTGCCTGCTGAGAGCTGAAGGAGGGCTTCTTGAAGTCCCAATGGTACCCCAGATACCCTCCTATGAAGCTGTAGCCAAAGCTGTGCAACATTTGTTGTCTGTGCAGTACCTGCTGCCTGTCCAGCCCTCCTCTATTTGGGACCTATGCCCTGTGCACAGGTGTTGTGTGGTTACTTCTGATGCTGCAGCTTGCAATCCAGCTTCCAACTGGGGGGAACAGGGTGGCATTTTACCTCTTAAAATGCTTTCAGCACCCTGCAGACCACGCCAGCAGTGTGGGCATGTGGCCAGCCCTGTGCTACTGCTGCCAGGCTTGGGTCCCTGGCCAGCCCTGTGCTGTCTGTGCACAGTAAGCTCGGCTGTGTAGGGCTGAAGTTCAGCTGCAGTCACTCCCACTGTACTTCATACCCTGCGTGGGATCCAGTGTGTGTGTGTGTGTGTGTGTGTGAGAAGGTTTCCCTGAGCAGGGCTGACACCAGTGCTTGGATGCTATCAGCAGCAAGAGGGGTCAGGAGCAAGTTGTAGGGGATGCTGTCTGCGCCCACTGCTCCATGGTGGAAATGACTTCTGTCTGTGAGCCCCTGAGCTTTGGCATCAGGGAGAGAAACTTGCTGGAGTCCAGCTCTCCTTATCATGGTGATGGCTGTGTCATCTCCCAGTTTGCGTAGCACCTGTCAGTCCTCATGGTGTGGGAACTGTCCCAGGAATGTTCTCCTAAACAAGCGGAGATCTTGCATGTGTGGGAGTCGTGCCTGGGGCTTGTGCAGGGAGATAGGTGTGTGCTTTGCCAGGTTAGAATGGGACGTGGCCCTGTTGGACTTCCTACCCCCAGGTTAGGAGAGGATGTGGCCTTGTGGTGAAGGCTGGGAACGTGGTATCTCCTGGCTCCCACACCTGGTTCTGGGGTCCTATGGGGTTGCAGTGAAATGGGAGTCTGGCTCTGCAAGAGTAATGGTGCTGCTTGGGGTGGGTTGCAGGCTTCCCAGCTGATTAAAGAGGTTGGGATGATGGGGGGAGTGGGGAATCTCTGCAGCAGGGCAAGCAGTAGTGAAGATGGGGTTTCAGGGTGTGCCTAGAGGCAGACCCTGTTTGGGGCGCTCTGCTACATCCAGCTAAGAACCAGGAGCATGGGGACCACAGCAGAGCTTCCCAGCCCTTCTCCCATTCCTGGGCCACTAGCAGCTCTGCACCCAGCTATGGTCCTGCAGCTGTGGGGTGCCAGCACTGCCAGAGCCTGGATCCTGCACTATGTCTTTGCTCTCAGGCAGAGCCCCAAACCCTGTGCTGGAGCTGGCCCTGCTCCCTGCTAGCTCTGGGCTTGCTGTAGCTCGTTGTGCGTAAGGTGCTGGGGCAGCCTGCTGAACTAGTTGGGCTGCATTGCCTGCTCTGCTCTGCTGCCCTGGCACAGTGCCTCACCTGAGAACGTGGCCAGCAGCCCCGCTATGTCCCAGGGCTGTGGGGCAGTGGCTTCTACCTCCAGCCAGGATGCTGCAGTGCCCCATCCCTGTGGGGCTTGGACTTGGTGTATGTAGAGGTCTGTGCCAACACTGTGTGCATCCCGTGCAGGACACTGACCCGCTGCGACAGCCCTGCACCATGGCAGACCCTCCTGGCTGCTGCCGCCCATGTGCCACCTGCCTGCTGTGCCTCTACAGCTGCCAGTGGATCACTGCCAAGAAGGAGAAGAGGAGGGGTCTGAGAACCACCAAGGTGATACTATGGGTGATGCTGAGCTGGGGCTGGTCCTGAGCCCCAGGAGAGCTTGGTGTACCCTGGGACCCCTCCTCTGCCCAGGGGCTGCCCTGGCAGCAGTGAGAGGGAAGACATGAAGGTGTCAGGGTGACTATGAGCCCTCTTCCTGCTAGGTGACAATAAGGGCAGCACAGCAGCGTGAGGCTGAGCCCATCCCCTGCCCCACTGGGCACGCGTTTGTGGCAGGCTTTGCACGTGCCTGGAGCTGAGCATGGTGTAGGCATGTCCTGGGATGCAGGGTGCCCAATGAGGCACGTGGGAGGCACAGTGCCTGGGCAGGGTGCGGTCCCCCCCGGGGGGGGCTGGCAGGGGGTGTCCCCAGTGATTTGTAACCCAACACAGGGGTGAGGCCCTGGGATTCTCCGAGGTCTCCAACTCCCATGGGAGTGGCTGTGCCATGGCTTGTCCCATCTTGCCAGAAATGTAAGAATTGGTCCAGGCTGCTGGCTGTCCCGCTTGGCACCTGGCACATCCCTGCACGTGTGGGGCTGGGGATGGAGAGCCTGGAGCTGGACCTGGTGTTGGTTGGGTGAGCAGAAGTAGCCTGGGGGCTCCTGCAGCTCTCAGCCCTTCTAGTCAGACTAGTCCACGCACAGCCCTGCAAACTGAGGATGGCACCTAGCTCCTTTCCCAGTCCCAGCCTGCTCTTGAGGCTGCTGCAGGGGGACAGGAGGCCGTATCAGCCTTAGGGCTGCTTTCCAGCCTGGCATCCGCTGCTTCTGAGCTTGTAGTGGGAGGTGTTTGTTCCCAAAAGAGCTCTCCAGGGCAGCTCAGTGCCTGGACCCTTGCTCCCTGCTCCAGGCTGAGCCTTGGGCCTCGGCATCTGGCTGTGGTCTGGGTATCATGCAGATGTGTGCATGCTTGTCTTCTCTCTGGCTTTCAGTGTGACTGCAGCTGGTTTTTCTTCCTCTTCTGTGTCTTCCTCTTCACGTTGGTGTGGCTCTACATTGCCATCATCATCCTCAATGATTTCCACAACTTTAATGAGTGAGTAGGATCCCACATCCAGCCTGACCTCCTCCACCTCTTGCCCCCCCCCCCCCCCTCTATGCCACCCATCCTTCTGTGTGTAAAACCCAACCTTTTACTTGCAGGTTCATCTTCAAGCAGCAGAAGCTGTGGCTAGACTGGTCCCTGATCCTGTTAATAGCAACAGCTGTGCTCATCACTTACTCAGCTGTGCTGTTGGTGAGCCCTGCTGATTCCCTCTGGGTTGGCAGGGGTATGGATCAGTGCTGGGCGTGAGCCAGCTGGAGCCTGAAGACCCTGTATGCATTGGGGGAGGGAGGCAGAGCTCCAGTGTGCCTTTTGAGAGCTGAGATACAGAGTTCAGACAAGCTCTGACAACTCCTCCTTCTTTCAGGTCCTTGCTTTGTGCTTGCAGCTCTGTGGCCAGCCCTTGAAGCTGCACTGGCTGCACAAGGTGAGGCTGTTGGTGCAGGAAGATGATACATCCCCTGGCTGTCTGCATGCTGGGCACATAATCTGCCTGGTCCTCTCCCACTGCTTTCTGATCCTTGGCAGCCACCTGGGATCCTGGTCCTTGAGAAACTGAGACCAGCCTGCTGGGGCTGTGTGTGGACAGCAGCTGTTTGTCCTTCAGCCCCAGGTCTCTGGGATGGGACTATTCTCCTTGCTCCACATGTGGGGTACTGAGTTCAGCTGTGGATCAAGATGGGGGGGAAGGACATCTAAAGAACTGTGGGGGGCTTGGGAGGGAGGGCCTGCTGGTCTAGAGGATGATGATGTGTACAATCCTAACTGCCCTGTGCTGCTTGACACAGGTCCTGCTGATCATAACTGCCCTCGTGGTGGCTGCAGCCTTCACAGGGCTGGGAATAAAGTGGGCAGAGGAGTGGAGAAGTGCACGCGTCTCCCTGCAGGTGAGTTGGCTTGTCACCAGAGACTCCCATGCTGTCCTATTATGGAGGCTTGTGGGGACAAGATGCGGAATTGTGCCTGGGCTTCCCAGCATGACTGTGTGCCATGAGGGCTAAGCCCTGTCCCAGCTTGGTCTGTGCAGTCCTGCCTGGAGCAGCTGTAGTCAGGGTGAGGGGACTGGAGGGAGACCTCGTCCTTTTCTCCCTGGCATTGAGGCTGTCCCACTGATGCTGGCTGTAATGGTAGATCCCTGCTATTGGATTTCGAGGACAGGGGCTGGGCTTGTGATGTCTGACACCCTGCCTTTGTCTTTCCAGGCAACAGGTCCCTTCCTGCACATTGGGATTGTGGGAGGAATGACGCTCCTTGCTTGGCCATTGGCCAGCGTCATCTACCGCACCCACAGCACAGGTAACCCCCCCCCAGGGTCTCCACCTCTCCCTACAGCTGGCTGCTCTGTTTCCTGCGCTCCACTGAGAGGCACTGGCAGCAGAGTAGTGCACAGGGAGCAGTGGTGCAGCGGGGATGACTGAGTTCTGGTACTGATGTATCAGCTCTGCTTCTATTTGCTGGTTTTTTTTTTTTATAGCTGGGTGCACCTCCAGCCCAGACTGCTTTGCAAATGGAGGAGAGGTGCAGATTGCAGTCTGGGCCCTGCAGAAGTCCTCTGTTGGGGTGCAAGGGCATGTGGTGGGCCAAGAAGAGACCTGCAGTGTTCTTGAGATTGAAGATGCAGTGCCTGACCTAGGGCAGCTTTAAGTGGATGCTGAAAGAAGCAGCATCAGCTTGTTCCCAACAGCCTGCAGAAAGCTTCCTATGCACCTCACCCCTGCACCTCCTGTGTCTTTCTCCAGGCCTCAAGGTGTTCCTACTGCTTGCATACTCTGCAGTGATGATTGCCCTTTACCTGGCTCCCCTGGGGATCACTTCACCCTGCATCATGGAGGAGAACCAGCTGCCCCCCAAGCCAGCCCTGGTTGGCCACAGAGGAGCCCCTATGGTGAGCAACAGCATGTGCACAGCACTCAAGGTGACACGAAGCTGTGGGGCACTGGTGCATGGCTGAGAGGTGCCTGAAGCAACACGGCTGGAGGATGTGGGTGAGGAGGGTGCTGTCTGCCCCTTTCTGAGCTCACACTTGCTCCCTTTCCAGCTGGCCCCTGAAAACACCCTCATGTCTCTCCGCAAGGCAGTGAACTGCGATGTGCAAGTCTTTGAGACAGACGTCATGGTGAGGTAAAGGGGCAGCAGGACTCAGAGGGAGGAAGGGGCCTGTGTGTCCTGGGATGTCACCCTCCATGTGGGCGCCTGGGGAACAAACCTGCAGGACTGGCACAGTCTTCATTTGGAGTCCACCCTGTTCAAGGGCTTTGCCAATATCACCTCCCCAGCATGGCCCTGGCTGTAGCTGGGTGTCCCAGAAAGCTGGGGAAGGTGCTGGGTTTCTCCTGTTCACCCAGGCTGCCTTCCAGGCCATTAGGAAGGAGGCACCACTTGGGGGGGGGGGGAGGGCACTACTTGGAGAGCAGCCCCTGGGCCCTCATCTCATGCAATCCTCCTGTTGCAGGGAGCAAGAAGCTGTGTGATTCCTGGCTTGGCTTCTTGGTGCTTTCTGCTTCCTGGAGGCTGATCTCTCTTGTGCAAAAACTCAGAATTAGACTTGGGGTGGAGATTACTTTTAGAAAGTGGCTGGGAGAGGATAGAAATGGCAGGGCAGTGTTAAGAGGCAAACAGCTTGTGATACAACCTCCTTCTCTGCTCTCTTGCCAGTGCTGATGGGGTCCCATTCCTCATGCATGATGAGAAGCTCACTAGGACCACCAATGTGCAGACTGTGTTCCCTGAGAGAGCCACCCTGAACAGCACTGCCTTCAACTGGACAGACCTCCAGCAGCTCAATGCTGGCAGCTGGTTCCTGGAGGTCAGGGTGCAGGGATGGGTGCACTGGGGGGGGGAGGAGGGGAGTAAAACAAGAGCCCTGCCCTGTATTGTGCTCCCTCTGCAGTCACCTGAGCAGTGTAAAGGAGCACTTTCATGCCTGCATGGATCCCTGGGGTGCAGTTACACCCTGTGCTGGCTGCTGCACCTGGGGTTTGCTCTGAGTCACAGGGAGGTTGGGCTGTGGGGAGATGCCTCATGCCCTGCTGGTGCTCACGCTGAGCTGCACAGCCTGCCTGGGCATGGATGCAGCTGGGGCAATGCTGTTCAGTGACTAATGAACTGCTGAATGCCCAGAGGTGCTGGGGCTGCTGGATCAGTGCTATTAGTGGGCAGGAGGGGAGAGGTGCCCTGTGCTCATCCTGTGGTGGGAGGCTGGAGCAGCACTGGTGGGAGGTGGAGGCACGCAGGCTCTGCCCATGGTAGCTGACTCTCTTTCCCTCCTAGAGGAGACCATTTTCCAGTCTGCAAAGTCTTTCACATGGCGATCGCGTGCAGGCGACTCGGCAGAAGATCCCATCCCTGGAACAGGTATTGGATGCAGCCAAGGAGAGCAATATCTCCATCATGTTTGACCTCCGGCCAGAGAACCACAGCGATTACCAGAGCTTTGTCAATGTCACCCTGGAAGTCATCCTACAGTCTGGCATCCCACTGCAGCAGGTGAGCTGCCCACCAGGTGCTGGGTCCTGCTGTCACACTGAGCATCTCTATCTCCCCACACACTCCATTGCCATCTGTGCTTCCTGCTCGGCCATCCTGTTGTACAGCAACCCCATAAGCAGCTGATGACCAGTCCTTGGCATGGTAGCATAGTCCTGAAAGAGATCCCATGGTTCCCTAGCTGGGAGAACTTGCCAAGAGTTGGAGGTAGTACATAAAGCTGCAAATACTTGTTTCCGAGAACTGGCCACTCTGGTACGTAAACAGTGACTCACTCAGCCAAGGGAGGGGAGCATGGGTACAAGTGCATGAAATCGATGCTCCCTGTGCTGCACCACACCTCTGTGCAGTTCCTTGACTTGCTGCAGCCGCCTCAGTTTCCTTTGTACTTCGTTGGCTTCAGCAGCATGAGGCACATGCTACTCTGCAGGGCTGGAGGAGCACCCAAATTGCTTTCCTTGTGGGAACTCAGGGCACAGTACTGTAATGTTGGCCTGGGGTGCATTCTTGCTGCAGTTGTGGCCAAAAGTGTGCTCTGTTCAATACTTCAGGGATCCAGGATGATGTCAGTGCCCTGCAGTGGCTTTCTTAGGCTGGAGTTGCTTTCTCCTTTCAGTGGGGTTTGTGCTTCCTTCTTGGCTGGGATGAGTTCTTGGACTGCCCTGGCTGAAATCCTCCAGGAAGATCATAGAGCCATAGAATCATTTGAGTTGGAAGGGACCCTTAAAGGTCATCTAATCTGACTCCCCTGCACTGAACGGGGACACTTATAGCTCAAACAGGTTGCCCAGGGCCTGGTCCAGCCTGACATCCAGTGTGTCTGGGAGTGGGGCAGTGTCTGCAGAGCCCTGGAGTGCCTCTTCCTTACACACATTCCCTGGCTCTTGCCCAGGTCCTGTGGCTGCCAGATGGGTTCAGGGAGCAGGTCAAACAACAAGTCCCAGGCGTTCAGCAGATTTATGGCCGGAAGAGACTCCAGGATGAGAAGGAGCCACTGCTGCATGTCAACCTGCCCTACCAAGACATGAGCTCTGAGGAGATCAAGTGAGAGCCTGGGAAGGGGAGTGGGCTACGAGTCTGGGGTCCAACAGAAGTGAGGCCCCAGCAGGGCTGAGAGCTGGGCAGAGGCTGCAGCCTGGCATGCCCCAGAGCTGCTATGGGGGATGGAGGCTGCAGCTATCTGTCTGGCCAGCAAGTCTGCCCTGGGTCTGGCTCTCCAGACAGTTGCTCTACGTGGCTGCAATTGCTGGATCGCATCCCAGACATGCAGGCCTCTTTGCCACGAGCTGAGCATGCTGGCACCTCGCTGTCTGCCATGCTGACCACGGCTCTCCGTGCACAGGCAGTACCGCCAGGACAACATCTCAGTCAACCTGTACGTGGTGAACCAGCCCTGGCTCTTCTCTGTGCTGTGGTGCTCAGGGGTGAGTTCTGTCACCACCAATGCCTGCCAGGTGCTGAAGGAGATGAAACGCCCCATCTGGTTGCTGGTAAGCAAAACCTCTGTCCTAGTGCAAAGCTTCCTGGCCTGAGTTGTGGGTCTGGTCCTGCAGCTGCATGCAGGGTGGGCTTTGCTCTGTGCTGTGCTGGTGTGGCAGTGTGACCTTGCATACCTTGCTGTGTACAGGACTGTGCCAGCAGTGGTGCTTAACGCTTGGCTTGTCACCTTGCAGCCCAGCAGCACGTACCTCATGATCTGGATTGTTGTAGACTGTGTCTCCTTCCTGATGATCCTCTGGGCCTTCCTCTTGATGAAGTAAGTTGGACCCCTGGGGTAGTTGTTGGGAGGCTGCAGGGTGCCCTGGCTGGTGAACCCCCATGCATGTGCCATCTGCTGCCACCCACCCTGGGCTGATGCCCTGAGGCCCCCTGGCTGGGAGAAACATCACTGCACAAAGGCAGCTCTTACCACCACACTGCTGCTAAAAGCATGGCCTGGCCCTTCCCGAAGCAGCTGCACTCACCAGCTTCCTGTGCACCCCAGGGCTGAGGCTAGGGGACCTTGCTCTGCCCCAGCACCACACCACATACCAGGAGCAAACAGTTGTTTGCTGTGGGGCCCTGCAGTCTGTAGCTGGGAGCTTGTGGGAGGGAAGGAGGAGGGGGTGCCCAGACTGACGTGCTAACATCGATCCTGCTCCATCTCCTAGGAAATGCTCCCAGCGAAGGCAGACGGCTGGTGAGTGCACAGACGCCGGCTCTTCTGTCCCTGGTGGTTCCCTGCAGGCAGCCAGCCTGCCCCAATGGAGCGTGACTGAGCCCTGCAGACTTTGAGATGGCTGAGGGAGGGAAGGGAATCCCAACACAGGGAATTCCTGCCCTGCCCTCAGCAAACTGCCCTGTGGGATGGTGCTGGGGATGCCCATACTCCCCAACTCTGCTCCAACCAGCTTTTTGGGCAGGTGTGCCTGCCGCTGCGGGGTGGTGGCTGCAGTCAATGACTGTTTGCTTCCTCTTCTTTCTCTCCAGAGTCTGAGACAGACGTGCTGCTCACAAAGATCAACAGCCTGATGCAAGACTGACCCCTCCAGCCTGCAGCAGCCATGGGGAGGGGCAGCTGGAGAGGTTCACAGCTCGGCAGGGAGTGCTACCGTGGCTGGATCCAAGGCTCCTTTCCTTTGCAGCTTCCTGAGCTTGCAGCCTTCCTGGCTCCCAGCGTGGTGCAGAACTACTCTCATCCGTGAAGACCTGGAACTGGGTCTCTTGCTCCTGCAGGCAGCAAGGGAACAGAGCTGGGGCAGGGGGCGGCTGCTGCTGCTGCCTTGTGTCCTGAGAGCTGAACTTTTCTCCAGGATCAAGACCTCAGCCCTGGGGTGCTCGGTTGGAGGCTGGTGGGGATCTGAGTCACTGTTTGGTGCGGGGGTATGGCAGCCTGCTGTCAGCAGCAGCACTGGTGATGGGGAAACCTTGTTTAAAGTGCTGCTGCCCAGGGGTGGGAGGTGAATAGGAAGGGAGGTGCAGGGTTGGCATATGATGGACGGGGAGCAGAGCCTTTGCTCCCAGTGCTGGGGATGGCAGCTTCGCCCCCTCCTGCTGCTGGCTTTGTGCTTGCTGGCCGGGGTGCCAGCTCCCCCCGCAGCCAACCCTGGGGACGGGGAGCAGGGGCTGAGGGTGGAGGGAACCTGGGCCACGGTGCCCCTACGGTGCTGCACAGCGGCGGGGGATGCACCAGGGTCGGGAGCACTGTTAGTCAGCATCGGGCACTTTGAACTTGGAGAGGGGAGTCTGTTTCACTTGCTCCTGCCTATTTATGTCAATAAATCAGCTGAGAGATAGACGGTCCTTTACCAGCGGCGAGTTCGGCATAACTCTTTCCTCTCCCCTTTTCAGTTTTTCCTTCCCAGCTCGGGGCAAAGCAGCGATACGCGGTGTATCCGTGCCACCTAGTGCCGGCGTGGGGAAGCGCCGTCGGGGCGGGGGGAGCTGAGGCATCTTCTGAGCGGGGTCCTCCGCCACGGGGAGCGGACCAGCTGCGGGGCGCCGAACCGGGCCGGCCCGAGGCTACCGATAGCTGGAGTGGGGGGGAAAACTCGCAGCGAAACGGCCCGGTGCTGGAAGGGTTGCGGGGCGCTGCGGGGGGAGGAGCGGGGGTGGGGGTGGGGGCGGGTGGGGGCGGCTCTTAGCACGGTTCCTGCTGGGCGGGGCAGGCGGCGGCTCGGCCGCTCGTGGGTTGGCACCGAGCGGAGCGGCCGCCGGCCACGGCGGAGCGATGATCCGCAGGGAAGGTAAGGAGAGCCCAGCCCTGCCCCGCCCCGCCCGCAGCTCCGGGAACCGCGACCCGCAGAGCTCAACAAGTGTCCGCCCCGCCGTACCGTGAGCGGGCTGTGCTGGGATAGCGGCTGCGGCTCCCGCAGGATGGAGAGCTGTGGAGCGGGGTGTCCGGCTGTGTGCCCTCCCCGGGAACGTGGGGTGCGTCCTTGTAGCAGTTGGCTATGGGGTGCTGTGTGGGTAGGGAGGTGTGTGGGTCAGGTGAGGAGGGACCCTCTGTAAGAGGGGTGCGCTCCTACAGGTGCTGTGATGCTCAGGCTGTCCTCTGGGTTTGGTATGCAGGGCCGGAGCTCCCTGTTCCTGAGTCACCCACCATGAGGGCCAGCAGGATGCCTGCTGCTCTTCCTGCACAGCTCAGGCTGGGTGGGATGGTCACACCTTGTCCAGTCTGTGTCTCAGTGTGGTGGCTGTAGTTCTCCACCTGCTTCTTTAGGCTCTGCTGATGAGGTCAGGGATGAGCGATGAAGATGACTCACAGGATGCTGGGCATTGGCTGGAGCCGTTGTCTGATGCTGCAGAGAAAAAAGTCCTCGGTACCAATATGGGGCTGGAATGCCTGTAAAGCTCAGTGAAGGTGGAGTCCTGGAAAGTCCCTGTTCTTCCCAAAGCTGCTGCGGAGCCTAGCTCTGAGCAGGAGCGATTCATGCTTCCCCTGGCTCCTTTCTCTTCTGCTCCAGAGATGAGTCAGTGTGGCCTGGTGACACAGGCAGGACCCCAGCAGAATGAGTCGGGACAGCAGGTGGCACGCGCCCTGGCAGACACAGACCCCCTTGTTTGGTGACCTGAATTCCCCGCCGAGAGCCCCGAGACAAGCAGGACCATCCTTTCTGCATGAGTTCCTGGGTCAAAAGATGAGCCTCCAACAGCAGCGGGACGCCTCCCCCGCCGCCTCACACAGACTCCCTTTGTCTGTGGACTGCTGGGGTGACAAAGGGAAATATTCAGCAGTAGGGCTGGGACGGGCTCAAGGTCCGTGGGAGCTCCCCACCCATCTGTAATGGGTCACATCTGGGGTTGGTGCTGGATTTTGCCCAGCTATGGAACTGAGTTGGCCAGAAAAAAGCAGAGCTATCCTGGTGCAGGGAGCTCATAGCCCCATTGCTTTAAAGCTGAGGTTGTCCTGCAGTTCTGGGGATCTCGGTCACAGCAGCCTCCTGGCCAGCATCCCTCCTTCCCGGCTGCATTTCCCCCTGACTTAAGGCTTCTCACCCTTCACCTTGTAGAACTGCAAGTTTTTCTGCCCCTGGAGCTGAGCTGTTTGCAATGTCTTTGCAGCTGCCCCACTTGCACAGCCCACTCTGCTCATCTCTGCTGTGACCGTCTGGCCCTGCGTGGCAGAGCACGTGTTGCTAGGGGTCACACAGCCCTGTGCAATGGGGATGTGTCCAGCTCCCAAAAACTCCTCTGTATGGGAGGTAGCAGTGGTTCTTGGGCTGCCTGCATGGACACTTGCATAGAAAAGCTGCTTTGGCATCTGTCCAGCTCTTAAAAGTCCAGAGCAATGAAGGCATTGCATGGATGAGCTTGGTGCACTCAAGGGTGCGCTCAAGCTTTCCTAGAGGATTTCTGTCCATCTCCCAGCATTAATGCTGTGTTATTCCTGTGTCCCCTCTGCAGACACCGAACGGGCAGTGGAAATCCTGACGAGATACCAAAGCACCCTGCGCTCCCCAGAGGAACAGGAGCTGAAAGCCTCCATTGGAAAGATCTCACACATCTTCCAAAGTGAACTATTCCAGGCTCTGCTGGGTAAGCCCCTTCCTGCTGTTCTCTGGGGCATTGCAGTCAATGGGTGCTCCTGGCTGGAGCAGACCCACTCCTGGCTGCGTGGTTTCTCTTAGGACATAAATGTTGGAGCTATGTCAGAGATGATCCCAGTGTAACCAAGGCTGCAATAAAGGCACAAAGCAGAGGATTTGTGCATTAGAGCACAGAAGTGATGTGGGGAGAATAAAGCTGGAAGGGTCAGGTCTGTGCTTGGTGTCACATGGAGGGAGGTGGCACAGCGGTCCACTGTCCTGTCAACACCAACACCAGGGAGTGCCGCTCGGTTGCTGGTGACCTTTTCAACTGGTTGAGCAGGATATTAGTTCCCGGGACAGAGCCAGCTTTCACTTGATGTGTTTACCTAACGAGGAATTTGCATTAATTGCTTCCTCCCCCGTCCCTTGAGTGCGTTGTTTGTGAATTCCTCTGTCCTTGTGCAGCCCTGCGTGATGCTGCAGCTCACTGCTCACACGTGGACCACTCGGTGTCCTCAGCCCCATCCCCATGGGCACACAGGGATGAGTGACACTGACGTGTGGAGGGCAAAGTGCTCCTATTCCATCTGCTTTTCACCCACCCTTCTCCCAGTGGGCTGCTGTACCTCGGGAGTTTGCTTGGAGCTGCAGGGCTGGGTCAGGGTGTTTGCAGGGTGTGCTGCGCCTACGCTTGCACCTGTGCTCCCCTTCCCATGGCACAGGGTGCTGCTGCCTCTGTTCTCTCCTGTGCTCTTAGCAGCACCTGCTTGGTTGGTTTTTTTTTTTTTGGGGGGGGGGGAGGCACAGTTAGGCAAACACATGAGGCTGATACACAGTCATCTTCAACTTGTGCTCCTGCAGGTAATGCTCTCCTAAGACGTATGTTAAGCTTGAGCACCAAAGCGTGTTTACTGGTAGCAGAGCTACTGAAAGTGCCAAATGGCACGGTGCTTCACATGTTGTTCCACATGAAAAATGCAAGGGGTGGGGCCTCCAGGGCACTTCTTTAGAAATAAGCTGCTTTGTGAACTCAGACTCTGCTCCTGGGCTGTTGGGGATGCATAGTGCATGGGGCTGGGTGCTGTGTTGCTGTGGCTGTGCTCTGCTGGACGCTGTTCCCCCCCAGCCTTCCCCTACAGCCTCTTGCATCCTAACAAAAGGTTCATCAGTTTGATGCAGGGAGCCTAGGAGGAAAGTGTTAAGAGTTGTTCTTCCTTACTGGATTCAGAGGGGATTTACACTGCCAACAAACGGGCACCAGCCTGTAAGGTGGAACGTGGGGCTTCCCAGCACCCCGTCCCCAAGGCTCCCCATTGCCCCACTGTGACATTCCTGCCTCAGATAGGGACACCAGCAGTGGTGTTCTCCTGTGATGGAAGCCATCCAAATCCTGTGTTCATTTTCGGGAACTCTGGTGCATTCCAAGTGTAATCCACGCAGCCAGGAGCCCTGTTACGCAAGCACTATTTTCATAAGCAGAGGGAGAGATGTTTTTGCACAAAAACAAAGTCTGTCTGTCCGGCTGTGGGATGAACATTGGCTGTAACCTCAGGGCTGACAACTTCAGGGGCAGCCTTTGCCACCAGAGGTGCACCTGGGGACTGGCATCTGTGCACCCCTCCTTTCTCTTCCTCTGGCCGCTGGGTTTCTTGCAGGGCACCCTTTGCTAAGCACCAGATTCTGGAAAATCTGTTAAAGATGGTTTGACAAACTCTCTGGAGCCTTTGGTTCCCTTTGGGGCTGCTGCAGAATCAAAGTATCACAGAACCATTAAGGTTGGAAAACACCACTTAAACCCACCCGCTCCATCCCATCCCCACCATGCCCAGTAAACCGGAGGAGCTCCCCAGGCTCCTCTGCAGCGAACACAGAAAATGAATTTGTTTTCCCTGCTGTGGCTTTCCTCCCTCTGAGTGCTTCTTTCCGCCCAGCCCCTTTCTGGCCCCGCAGCCCTGACCGCCTCCAGTCTCCCGTGTGCTGTCAGGATTTATGACTCTGCCATGCTGCATGCAAGTCATCCACCAAACCCCCTCAGCCGACCTCTTGGCGTGGTACATTTAACCTGGCAGCATTTACCATCCTTTCTGGTTTTCTCACTTGAACACGGTTTCAGCTATTTAGGAGCATACCTTTTCCCATTCAAAGCCCCCTTTCCTGCAGTGCTTTCCTCCTTTTTTCCTCCTTGCCATGTAACATCCACCAATTGACGCTGCACGCGTGCTCTGATGTCACGATGCAGAGCCTCTAAATAGGCTTTGCTGCTTCCCACCCTCTTTGTCACCCTTTCCAGTTTCTTTCTGAAGATCTTCTCACTTTTTCTGTAGTTTCCCTTCTGAAATTAAACACTTAAACACAGCGATGTGAGATTTGCTGCTCCTGCAGCATTGGGCTGGGGCTGCTGCATGTTTCCATTGGGAAGTGCAGCAGCCCCACTGCTTCCTGCAGTGCCCCGTGGGTCAGACAGAGAGGGGAAGATGCTCCTGGCAGAGTTGGGAGGGGGCACTTGCAGACCCTGCACCCAATGCAGGGCACTGGCACTACGCTTTCTGCCCAATCCTGATGATGTTTCTTGTGCTGTTTTGCAGATATCCACGAATTCTACGACTTCACACTGCGCTCAGCACCCCTGCAGCCTCCCAGCCCAGCAGTGCATCGTGGCACAGCCCAGCACCTCAGTCCCAGAGAGCCCCACAGCCCCCCCGAGGTAAGAGCCACTCCGTTCCCTGCAAAGGGGACAGGTTGGCATCAGCTCCCATGCCAGCAGCGTGTTTCCACACCTCCTCTGTCACAGCTTGCCTAAATAATTAGGCAACATCTCTCATTCATAAGCGTTAATTGAATTATTCCTAATGCAAATGACTTCAGCTCTAGCTCTGCTTTCTGCTGTGGGTTACTGGGGCTCTGATTGAGCTACCTTGCAAGCTGCTTTTGATAACTGAAGTTAGGCCTTTCAAGTTTCCTTTTTCAGGATTTTTTCCAGTTCTCTGATAACTTCCACGTCTCTTATTTGCATTCTCTTTAATTTCCAACAGTCTTTTAAGTGATACCAGGCAGAGAGGCAGCGACTGAGCAGTAGGCTCCGAGTTGTCTCACAGGCACAAAAGCAAATTGAATTGCCTTGATGGGGTAGGGGCAGTTTTGCTTTTCCAGGCCTGCTCCAATCCTTACCTCGCAGCTCCGGATCTGGTCTATGGCATTGGATCAGTTTTCAGCGGGTTTACGACTTATTTCTGTAGCTACAGACACCAGGATCCTATTTAGTTTTCTGGGGCTGCAAGAGACCCTTTCTCAGCAGTGCGGTCCGCCTGCCCAAGCACACGGACACCATCACATCCCTCCTTCTTTCCCCAAAGAGATGCACGGAGACATCTCACACTGCTGGAATATAGAATGGGTTGAATTGGAAGGGACCTAAAATCATCCACCCTCAGGCCAACAGCGGGGTCTCCCTGCCCTGTATGCATCCCAGGGGCTCGCAGCCCTCCCCTACCCACCTCTATGTCCCGGGTCTCATTGCAGCCACGAGCCCAGGATGGTGAGCAAAGGCTGCTGGCGGTGACACCGGGGACTCCCCCAAGGCTGGTGAGGGTGACAGCACGCCGGACGGAGGCACCGACCAGCGTCTGCAGCCTGGTGCTGGGCTCCCGCAGTGCCCTGCCACAGGTGAGCCCCCGCACCGCGTCCCACCCGGCCACCGGCTGCCACCACGGGGACAGCACCGGGGCTGCGTGCCCATAGCACTGCGGGATGGGGCTGGGAAGGTGCCTGGGGCTGGCGTTTCCTTGGGCTCTTCCCATTGGGGCGGTGATGCTCAGGCTGGGAAGCGTGGCAATAACACTAACAGCATCCCCGCGCTTCAGCGCTCGTGTGGTCCAGTGTCAGCGGTGGGAAGGCAGATGGACGTGGCGCAGGATGGAAATCCTCCCAGCCCCGTCCCCAAATATCTCCATCTTACTCCCACCTCGTGTATTTTCACCTTTTTCTCCAAGCTCCTCGATGGCAGGTCCATTCCTCAGCATACCAGGAGCATTTCTCTGCTGTTTGCCATCTATCTGGATGTGGGTCGTAAATCTCAGCTCCCTCCTGGTGTGAGCGCGTCGCATGGGCTCCATTCCTGATGTTGGTTGTAGGGACGAGTGAAGGGCAAAATGCACTCTGAGCCTTTAGGGAGGGATGGAGTGGCTGTGATGGATGGAGCTCACCAGACGTAAAATAACACGAAGGCTTTGTTTTTCTTGGCACAGCTTTAATCAGTCCTTGTTTGCTAGCTTGGATTCTTCTTCCAAATTATTTTAAATGTGAAAATCACACTGCTGCTTTTCTTCCCGTTCTAAATGTTTCCCTTCTCACTTTAGACTGCAATAAAATGGGTGATGCCCCATTTTTTTTTTTCCTTACTGTTGAATTTCTCCTTTTCCTCTCCCTCCTCTCTGCGTCTTCACTCACCAAATCCTTACCAGTGCTGGAATATTGGGGACTGTGATTAAATGGAGACAAGAGGTGCAGTCTGCAATCAGCCCACCCTTGGTGGTGGTCTCGGCAGTAAAAACTTTGCATATGCTGGCAATTCACCTGCTTTTATTACTTCATCCACTGGGATTTCAAATGGAGCCTTCCTCTTTGTGTTCCACCCTGGTGTCCCTGGGCTGCACTCCTGGATGTGGGGCAAGAATCTACAAGCACAGCATTCAGCCTCACACACCTGGCTGAGATGCAGACACCTCCCCTTGATTTTGAGACATGGTGGGGAATCTGCTGTGTGATAATCCGGCTCTCCTGATGGTTATTTATCCTTTCCATTAAAAATGTGCACCTTACTGCTAGCCTGGATTCCTCTCTCTTTAGCTCCCAGCCCCAGGAGGTTTTGCTGCCTTTGTTTGCCAGGATAAAGGGCCGCAGCAATCAGAACTGTTCCCAACATGTCGGTATTTATAGATGCGTCTGCGTTCCCTCTTAACTTTCCCTTAGATAAACTAAACAGATTGGCTTCCTCACTCACTCAGTGTTGTTCCAGCCCTGAAATCGTTCCTGTCATTCTTTTCTGAAGTATTCCTTTTCTTTTCAACCTTCTCCTTGTCTGGGGTCAGGTTGGGGTGATGGGCGCCTTCAGCCAGAGCACTCACACCCACACTTTTTCCTTCCCAACCTGGATGGGTGCAGAGCAGGGGCCTGGAGGGAAGACCTTTGGGATGTTGCTGTGCAGTGCTTGGCCGTGCTTGGGGCTCTTCTGTCCATGGGGCAGCTCGCGTGGGCACAGGGACCAAGCAGTGCTGGAAGCTCGGAGCAGTGCTTGCTCGGAGCTGCTCCTCTCCAAGGGCACAACTGAACTGAAAACATCCCAAGCTGGGAGGTGAAAGGTTGGCCATGGAGATGAGCCCCATCCCTCAGCTGTCCTCATCTGAACATCATCATTATTGCTGAAGACCCGCTTTGTCCTGCATCCCTGTATGCAGGATGTCATGGGACTGGATGACCCTCCACACCCAACTCCTGCCCAGCTATTTGGTGGCTTCTTGTTCCTGGCTTTTGGTGCTGTATTTCTAAAGCACTTGAGTTGCAAATGGCACTCAGAAGAACGGAGGAAGCTTTTATAATAGATTATAATCAATGATAATAGGGCACTTGGGCGCCAAGGCAGGGCAGAGCAGCTGCATCCCTTGTGCTATCAGCCCACGAGCAAGGGCTCCAGTGGATATCTCACAGCTGAGAAGAGGCACGGAGACAAGCTGGCGTGTCTTGCCTGCTTCTCTTACTGCATCCATCATTGTAAATAAGTTTTCTGTTGTCCTGGCTCCAGCCTCTCCCCTGCCTGCGGTGGTGATGGCAGAGTGGAAGTCACTGTAACCTGCCTTAGCCAGGAAGGCGCACGAGAAACGAATGGCCTGTCTGCACCAATGCTTCCAGGAACAGGAAATGTTCTGTCTGCTGGCACAGCCCCGTGCACTCCGAGCAGCCCCGTGCCGTGCAAATGGCTGCTGCTCAGGAAGCAGGACCGGCACACAGAACGTCGGTGTGCTTCGGGGGCTGAAGCCATCCCTCCATGGGAAAGCGATGTTCAGCCCGCAGAGGGATGCGGATAGTTGCAACACCCTGTGGATGCACAATCCTGCACGCTCTGTGGGGTTTTATCAGCCAAATCCTCCGCGTCAGCCTTTCTCTGCTTTAGTTTTTGGGGCTTCAGTGCGGGGAACCCGAGGCTGCTCCTGCAGCGCTGCTCGCCTGCGCCCAGGGGGTGGCAGGAAGGCTTCGTCTCTTTGAAAGCACCATCCTCACCCTCCCACCCCCCTCTCCCGGCTCGGGGAGCAGAGAGCAGCCAGCTGGAGCGATGAATGCAGGAGGAACAATACCGTTGATGAGCAGAAACGCTGCGCCTGCGAGGGAGCGCTGCTCGGCCCCTCACGGAGCCGCTCTGACTTCATCTCTGTCACCGTGCCACCGCAGCCTGCCCTGCGCGTCCCTCCCCGCACGGCGATGCCGATCCCAACAGGCGATGCTGAGTGCCAGCAGCTCTCAGAGTGAAGGAGGAGCTGCTTCAGCAAGCGGTTGTGCCTCGTGTGCTTCTGCATTGCCGGTGGATGGGAAACCTTGCCCGCGGAGGTGCTGCCTCTCACCCAGCTGTGGGTGCATGGGAGTGTGCCCCCGTGTGCCAGCTGGAGGCTGTTTTGGCAAAGGCCAAGAATGTCTCCTTCTGCCATCGCAGGGAGGACGTGGCCTAGCCATGCAGGCTCTCCTCCCTGCTGTTCTCAGTGCTGAAGAAGATGCACGTGTCTGCCCTGACCCCCAGCTTGGGGGCTGCCCCATCAGCACCACCACGCTTGTCTGCTTCCCCTCGAATGCCAAAGCACTGAGGATGTCCATCTGTCTGTCCATCCGTCTGCTGTCACTCAGCCATGCACATCAGCCCTTGCAGCACAGACACCCAGCTGGGCAGCCGCTGCCCGTGTCTGGAGGATGCTGCTGTGAAAAGGGGATTTCAGCACGGGCTGTGTCAGGGAGAGCTGTCACTTCGGTGGACATTTTGGGGTTGAATGGCTTCAGCTTTACTAGAGGCTCTTGCTATTCTTGCTGCAGAACAAGGAGATGCTTAGACTTCAGTTCTCTCAGCTCGATGTACAGCTTTAGCAAAAGATGAATTTGATGGAGCCACCAGCCTGTCAAACACAGATCACGTGGAGCCATCTGTTCCTGCTCTATTCAGGGACTTTCTGTCTAAAACCAGTGGCAAAAGGAAGATCCACAGCAGGCTGTAAGGCTTTTCTGGCTCTGCAGCACAGGAGGGTTCTGCTGGGGATGGGGCTGTTGGTCTGTCCATTCATTCAAGTCATCGTTGCTGTTTGGCAGTTATTTTGTTTGGTAATAGTACAAGTGCGTGCAGTGCTGGGGCTGTCCCATAGACAGCCATGCTTTCATCACTCAGCTGCTCTCTGAGTCCATCTTTCCAGATCCGTGCTTCATTGACCTCCTCAGAGCAGGGCTCCTGGCATTATGTAAGCATTGGGATTCAAGCTTTCCCAGGGCTTAGCTCTGAAAGCAGGAGCTGAGACCACCCGAGCAGCATGGGGACTGAAGCACCTTTGATGCTGGTCTCTGGAGGCCGATTATGAATCAGGTGTGTTTCTGCAAAGCAAATGGGCTCCCCTCTCCATTTTGTCAAAGGAACAAACCGGGCTGGAAGGCAGAGCCTGGTAGGCCAGCTGCTTCCTAGCTGGAGCCTTGAAAATGTTGTTGCATCTTAACGGTGTCGGGAAGGATGGAATCAGAATGGTGGTGAAAGAGGCATCACCAGTGCTGTTATAAATAGAGCAGCCGTGATAACTGCTCAGGAGGGTTTTTAGTCTTTGGGATTTGGAGGATAAGCTCTGAGCTGTGCTGAGAGGTCCATTATCTGTGGCTTTTGTAGGAGATAGGGGAATCTGCAGGGGAATGAGGGCAGTGGATGAGTGCAGGTTTGGGAATCGTCCCTTTTGTGAATCTGAGTGTGACCCTGTTTTAAGGCTTTCTGCTACGTGCTGCTGCCTCTTGCACTGCTCTGCCTGCTCCGAAGTGGTTGTACCACACGTGGCTGCAGCGATGGTTTCAGGCCAACCCAGAGCTCTGCTGCAGGGATGCACGGATTCACTCCAGCACCCGTTGTAACCACGCAGCCTGCAAGCATTCAGCATCGTGCAAGAACTTTGCTGGCTTTGCACCTAAGAAATCATTCCAAGCATTGAGATTCAGGCAGAGGACCCCTGTGCTCTGTGGCCTAGATAGCTCTCAGGGCTGGCACAGCTCAGGCATTCTGGTGCCCGCAGCACTGGCATACAGAGCATTGTGTCCAGCCTCACCATCAGGCACCCACCTGTGCGTGCCCGGAGCTGGGCTCAGCTCTGCCAGCATCACAGCCATGTCCTGCCACATGTCTCTTCCCCTTTCAGGGTCATTTTTAGACTGGGTCACTTTGCAGCCAGGTTCCTGCAGATCATATGCAGGAGAGTTTGCATAAAGCAGCCAAGGGGAAGATGCACTGAGGTGCTAGGGAGGCACAGCCTGCTCCTGAGCGGCATCATCACTGATGCCATCAGGTCCCTGCGTGCCATGTTGCTGTGTCCCATGCATGCAGGGACGTGTTTCGTAAGCTCTCTCATGGTGTTTTTGCAGGGAGGTTTTGTGCCTTTTTGGAG